CCCCTGCCGAGCCCCCAGAAACGCGACTTCTTGGCGAGCAGTCTCTCGCGGAACTCCCCGCGCTTCAACTCCGCGCGGCCCACCTGACACGCTGCCACCTCCTCGTCGCGAGAGGCAGCGCCGGCCTGAGCGCCGGTAGTGATGAGGGCCATCCTCTTCGCCGTGTACCAGTCGTCGTCCTTGAACGCCGCGAAGCGGGCCAAGAACCCCAGCATCGCGACATCGAGCTCCTTGACCGTGGGCCCCGACAAGCCCAAGTCGAGAATGGTCGCTAGGGCGCACAGCGGCCTCACCTCGTGCGCCCCGAGACTGCTCGGCGGGTCCTCGATGAAGAACTCCGTGTCCAGGTAGGCCCGGCAGCAGGCACCCCTTCCAGCAGGCCCATGGCCTCGTCGAGAGCGTCGAAGCCTCCACCTGCGCTGCCACGGCCTCGGCTCCTCGACCTCTGAGGCGGCGCCTCGCGCCGAGCGGGTGGCGCGCGGCCACGGGGCCCGCCGCGCGCCCCTGTCCCCGCGCGCGCTCCAGCCCGCCCCCCCACGCGTGGCAGGCCAGCAACGTCGGGCCTCTCGCCAGCGTGAGGGGCGCGCGCCTTCCGATGGGGGAGGGACCAAGGCGTCGCCACAGCCCCCCTAGCCGGGAGCCGGGCGCCGCCGCGGCTCTGGCTGACGGAACACGGCCCGAGGCGGCTCCTGCCGAGGCGGCGAGCGCGGGCCCTCCTCGAAGGCACGCCCAGCTCCTGCCAGCTCCTCGGGCCCTGGCTCGAGGTGCTCGCCGTCGTCGTCCTCGTCGTCCGTGCCCTCAAGCTCGGGCACAGCAGCCTTCTCACCTCGATCGCCTTCTGCCCCTCCATTGATGTGCTGAACCATCGCGAGGCAAGCCCGTCCGAGGGCCCCGTACTGCCCCACTGCACGCGGAGAGAGCTCGTCTCGTCCCCGGTCACCTCGCGCACCAAGTTGCCGAGCTCGAGCGTGTGCCCGTCCTGCCCGACAGTGCGGCACTCCCGCGCAGCCACGGCGCAGAGGAGCAGCAGCGCGTTGGCCCCCCCCCGAGCACACGCCTCGCCGACCGCCGAGGCGTACCACTCGAAGTACGCGTCCGACGCCGCGGTATGCTGAAACTCCAACAGCTCTCCGCCGCCCCTGGGCCGCCAGGCGCGCTCGACGCAGACGAGCTCGGTCCCCTGGCTGGCCCATGAGTCGTCGGGCACACCCCCTGCAGCAGCGTGCCCGGCAGCAACGCCACCCGCTCCAGGGCGACGGAGTCCAGCTCCGTGTTGGTCCAAAGCCCGGCCATCTCAGGCGCCGCCGCCGCCATGCACCATGGCGCGCTGGCTGTCCCTCCACGGGAGAGCCCTCGGCGGAGGCGGCCGTCCGCGGCCCGCTGCGCAGCCCCCAGGGCGCGCTGGCGAACCCCAGCACGCCCTCGGAGCCAAGCAAACTACGGATGACCCCCTTGGGGTCGGCTGCGCCGAACGTTTCACGGGAGATTTCTCAGTATAAGCTACTCGGGGAGATGCCACACATATATATATATATATATATATATATATATTCCGCCCCCGGGGGCCCGAAGATGTCCCGCCTCGGAGAACTGGCCCCGTGCCTCGCGCAAGCATTCCTTCCCGGCCAAGGGATCCACGGCAGCCGATTTTTCTGAGGCGGGGCAGGCCTGAAGGGATTGCCGCCAGGCGTTGCAAGTGGATGGCGCACGGGAGCACAAAATACACACAGCATAAATTCTTCAGCCACTGCCGTGGATAGGTGACGAACACTAGCTTGCACAAATGAGTTCGCCGATGCAATTCGGACTAACCGTAAGCTCCCAGGTCAGGGCAGGCCGACACTTCGCGCACGCGCACCGTTCCACACTCAAGCCTTAACACAATCAACACACAGCATGGTATACACGCACTCCTTTATGCAAGACAGGGAACCTCATACACAACATCGAACACGCAAAACACGACAACGCGTAATACATATGATGCACTACAGGCAAGTCTTGTGCCAAACTGCGCTTCGCAAATCGTCCACACGGTACCGCCCGCCTGGAAGCCAACATGAGGTGAGAAACACGGGCACGTCGGCTACACGCAGGAGTGATCCCAAACAAGAGTGACCATTGGTGCGCGGCTTTGGAGGGGCGCGGGCAGGGAAAGGGGGGGCGCCTAAGCCGCTGCTGTAGCGCTTCTTTCAACAATCTGGGGACCCCAATGAGCCCGCGTCAAGATCACCCGGACGAAAGGTCACTCTTACGCGTAGCTGGCCACGGCGAGATGAACACGAGCTTTTTCCAACATGTGGATATCGCCTTACAACCGCGCACACTCGTCTTAACACATGGCAAAGTTCAATGATCCCCATGGCTAACGTGCGTGCGAGAAACGGTCTTTTGGAGCGATTCGCGATGGTCAAGGCGAAGCAGTAACTATTGGTTCGCAGTGCTGGCATCCCAGAACTGGCGTTCTGGCACGATTCAGGATCGTCAAGACGCAACAGTCACAATTGATTAGCGGCATTGAAGTTCCGAGAATGGCGCTTTGGCACGCTTCGAGAACTTCGAACGGTTGTCTCCCAAAGGGGCACCTCCCTCCTTGCAAATGAATCTTTGTAGGGGACTAGGGAGCTTGGGGGAGGGCTTGTTCTAACATCGTTGATGAATATTGGGTTTACACTGGTCCTCCTCCTCCTCCTGCTCCTCCTCCTCCTCCTCATCCTCATCCTCATCCCATCTCCTCCTCCTCCTCCTGCTGCTGCTCCTCCTGCTGCTGCTCCTCCTCCTCCTCCTCCTCCTCCTCCTCCTCCTCATCCCTCCTCCCCACCCGCCTGTTGCTTTCGCTGCTGGCGTCAATGCAAATCACGACGTTACCCCCCCCGGGCGGTCGCCCCTTGGGGGGTGGGGGGTGCAAAAAAGATATGCAAAATAAAAGCGGAAGAGGATCACGACTGGCGGAGGACCTCGCTTCTTGGGGGGTGGCCAGGTCCCCCTAGAGCCCACCCAGCGGGGGAAGGAGGGGGAACGCTAACCTCATGACAACCTGAAGAAGGGAGGGGGGCGGATGGGGGGCAGTAAAGGCGCGGTGACACGCTGTTGCGGTTCCCTCTGCTCCCTCCGTCCAACCTCCTCCTCGGGGGGGAGGAAGAAGGAATGAGGACCTCATGATAAACTGAAGAAGGGAGGGGGGAGGGTGGGGAGCAGTAAAGGTACGGCGACATGCTGTTGCGATTCCCTCTTCTTCCTCCGTCTAACCTCCTCCTTCTCCTCCTCCTCCTCCGCCTCCCTTCGTACTGGCTTGCGCTTCCACCCCCTCCCCTGCGCGCGCGCGAAGGATGGGGAAGGGGGAAGGAAGGCAGGAGGAAGGAGGGTCAGCAGGAAGTTATTAAGGCGAAGGGGAACGACGGGGACATGGGTTACAGGGAGAAGAAGCAGCAGTAGTAGGGAGGTGAATGGGGAGGGCATGACGAGGAGGAGGAGGACAAGGAGAAGGAAGAGAAGCATGGGCCAACACATGGGACGACGCTCCGAGCCAGGATGGCGGCGAGAGCGGGGCGATGAAGAGGAGGTGCGGGAACGAGGTGGAGGAATGAGGAGGAGCCAATTGTGGAGGGAAAGTGGCGGAGAAGGTGGAGCTGACGCTGCAACCGTCTCGCCCCCATTGGCAAAGAGCGAGGAGCGGAAGGCGAGGAGGGGAGCGATCTAGACTTGGTCAGGGCCCGGGCCTCGAGGGAGAGACACCCAACCCTGGTGAACCCCATCAATTTTGTCTCGTTCAGGGTTCCCTGTCCGCTGGAGGGTTCTAGATGGAGCAAAGAATCGGTTCGAACCGGAATGCGGGTCGGACTGCGTCGGCACGGAATCTAAATTGAGTCGGCCGCGCAACGAAAGACAACCAAGCCCTGCAACCACCAGGCCGCGCCAGATCGTCCATCGAAATCGAATCGGATCGGGGTGGCCAGAATCGATATGGAATCGGATCGATTGGATTGAAGTGGACCCTGAGGGAGGTGCGGGGACAACGGCAACTACCACTGAACGTGAACGAGCGGGTCCTGTGTGAAGCGGGCTCTGGACCCTGAGGCTTTTCCCCGGGACCAGTTCTTCATCCTGAGCAGTCTTTCGACGGTTCTGGGGCCCGTGGAGGGCCTAGGGAACCCGAAAACAGGGAACAACCCAGGACCCGTTTCTTTCAGGATCCTTTTCCTGAAGGGGGGACGTTATGGTGGGACCAACTCAGGGGGGGGGGGGGGGACATCGAGCCAAAATCGGCGGTACATGGCCGACACATCGGCGATGAGCCCCCGATAGCGAATCCGGACGTTCCTTGGCAGGGTGGGTTATCGCGCCCCTATTGGGTGGGCGATCGGGGGTCGCGGCATATCCACCCCCGAGCCTCCTCCCGTCCCTGGCGGTCGAAATTTCGGGCCACAGCTCGGGCCTGCGGCGGCAGCTCGGGACGATCTGGGCACCCCATTGAACGCTCCCGGCGAGGCGCAGTTGGTGGATAAGGCATCCAGGAGCTGGAAAGCCAGCGACACACAGCGAAAACGCCCGAACTTCGAGGAGGAGGAGGAGGAGGAGGAGGAGGAGGAGGAGGAGGAGGAGGAGGAGGAGGAGGGCCCCCTGGCTCCCTGGGCCCATCCCCCACACGGTGGCCCCGGCATGGCGAGACGACGACAGCGGCAGCCAGCGGCAACCGGCGGGGGGCCGCCCTGGGCGTGGCTGCGATGGGGGCGATAAGTGTGGGGGGCGCAAACACGTGCACATTTCATGCCCGTGTGGGGCCCCAGAAGAAGGCCCCTGAAGTGGTGCACGAAAGATGCCTCCTATGGGGAGCTTCAGCAACCTCCGGGGTGTCTTCCGGGAACTTCGTGGAGATGGGCGCCTCCCGTCTTCCCTGCCCCTGCCGCTCCCCCACGTAGCCCCTCTTCTTTCTCCTGCCCTTCCCGCTGCTGTTGTTTTTGCTGGTCCCCCTTCCTGTTGCCCGCCCCGCGGAGGCGTTCCTCCGGCTCTGCGGCGGCAGGGCCGGGGCTGCCGCAGGCGGGGGCGACCTCGGGCCTGCGGCGGCGGGTCGCCGCAGCCACCGCCATCGTCGCTTCTCGCGCGGTGGCCGCCTGGGGCCCGTGGCGGGCCGACACGATGCGGCGAAGAGACCACGGGTCTTACGCGGGACGGTATAGACACTTGTCGCGGTGACTTTCGCAAGCCGCCGGCGCGTAACGCTACGTTGGAAACGAGGGTGCTCTTACACGGACAACTCACGCGGGGATGCCCGCGCAAACGACACAGTTGTTGTTGTCCGACGCCGTCGCCCACTTGTGATACAGTGGCCAAGCGCGGCAACAACCAACAAGAAAAAAAAGCGGCGTTCCGCCGACGATGTTGCTCGGGTCTGTCTTCGCCGTGCGACGAAACGACTGGCAGAATCGCCTTTGCAGGCGGGGGATGCATTTGGCTAAAACTGAAGGTTTCCGCGCTTCGCCAATGGAGGAGTATGAGAAGAAAGAGGAGGAGGAGGAGGAGGAGGAGGAGGAGGAGGAGGGAGGAGGAGGAGGAGGAGGAGGAGGAGGAGGAGGAGGAGGAGGAGGAGGAGGGAGGAGGGAGGAGGAGGAGGAGGAGGAGGAGGAGGACGAGGAGGAGGAAAGGGAGGAGAAGCAGGAGGAGCAGCAGGAGGAGGAGGAGGAGGACCGTTTGAAACCTCTGCTGTCTGGGAGGGGTGGAATTGCAAACATCTACGCTGGCGTGTTCCAGGGCAGTCACCAACACCCCTGACCTGACATGCGCCTCCGCCGATGCTAAGCTCCAGTGCGCCCTCCCGACAGGAGACTGCGCCTGCCGCCTGTCGCGAAGCCCGCGCGGGCGCGATGTTGTTCCGTCGGCGGCTAGGCAGGGGTCGTCTGCGCTGGCAGAAAGAAGTGCCTTAATGTGAGCACAATTGTAATGAATTGGCCAGGATACAACAAGAAAGGGAACACAGGACAGAGCAGGCGGCCGCGGGGGGGGAGGAAAAGCGAAGGCTACTCAGGGGTGGCGAGTCACTTCCCCGGGTGTGCTGGCGCAGCCGGCCCCGCCAGAGGGGACTGAGGCGGCTGTTGCGCCCGCCGGTGCACTTGTTGAAGCGGAGCCCAGTGCGTGTACCGCAAGCTGAACACAAACAGCGAGTAGCCGACGAGGAACACGTAGTGCCAGGCCGGCGGGCCGCGGGCCGCCCAGGTGGGGGCACAAAACAAGGTGCGGCAAGTCGAGCTGCATCCTGGCGGAATGCGTTCAGCAGCATGCTGGGCCAGCGATGGGGCCAGGCGGCAAGACCAAGCCCGAGACCCCGTACGCGTGGAGGCTGCGGGCAGCAGCCCGGGCGCCATGGCGGCGCGCGGAAGGGGAGGGAACGGGCAGGGGGGGGAAGGGAAGTAACAGGGGATATGTCGACCCCTATCCCAGGCTTCGTGGGGTTTCCGCATGGACCAGAAATTTGGGGCCTAACCCTGGGATATACGATGGGGGGGTGTCCATTCTCGATAGGGGTGCGTCCGAATAGCCCCCTTGGGGTGTATCCCAGGGTTTTCCCATTCTTCTGAGCGGCCAGACTTTTCGGGCGAAACTCGGGGATTGGGGGAGAAACATCGCCCGCGAGGAAGGGAGAACGGGGAGGAGCGACCTGCCTGAGGACGCCCCGCAGGCGGGGCGGCGGCGCCGGGCCAGCGCCGGAGGCAGCGGGCTGCGCGAAGCACGCAGTGCGGGCGGCTGAGAGCCCCGAGGTGGTGAGGCCCGGGACTGACCCTGTGCGTTTCCGCTGGTGCCTTCGCCGCGCGCATCTCTGTCGGGCTCGGCTTCGCCCGCCAGGGCCCCTGCCCCCTGGGGCGCGCCAGAACTCGCTGCCGCCGCCGGCCGGTGCCCGCACTGCTGCCCGCGAGCCGCTCTCGACCGCGCGTTGATCGAAACTTCGTAGCGGATGATCGGTCGTTCGCGCCCGAGCTCGCGCACGTGTTGTTCGAAGCGTTGTAGCAGATGAGCGGTGGGTTCGCCTTCACCGCCCGCAGCTCCCTGAGCGGCGCCATAGCCAGCTGCCGCTGCTCGTCCTTCTCGCAACTGCTCACCACGCAAATCTGCATGAGCAGCGCCGGAGTCCGCTGCCACTGCCCGCCCAGCCGTCGTGCAACCACTGCCGACCCTCCCTTCCGCGCCGCCAGTGCCGCCCCTGCTTTCTCTCCCCCGACCATGCAGCCACTGGCGTCCGCACGGACTCCTTGGATCGGCGCTAAACCTCCTCCCTCGCGCGCGGAACGCGCCAAGGGCGGCGCCCGAGGCGCCGCCAGGAGGACCAAGCACCGATCCGAAAATGGATGTTCATGCAACTTGTTCTTGCTCAATCCACTTCGGGCAGTGCCGGTGCCGAAGAGGAAGACGGTGCGGGTGTTTGTGCGGCACAGCTCTTGGCTGGACTTTGGTGCCAGGGCGGATAGACGGGTACTGGGTCCCCTGCCCCCTCCCTCTCTCACGCTCACCCTTCCCTCCTCCTCGCCGTCGTCATCGTCGTTGCCATCGTCGCCGCCACCGCCTCTGGTCCGCCTCCGTCGCTGCCGCCTACATCGGCGTCGCCGCCGCCAGCGTCCTCCCTCGGCCAGACCTCTGACGAGAAGACCGTGCTTGGCGCGCGCGCGGATCTCTCGGCCGCGTCCCGTGCACACCCTCGTCGTCCCAGAGAACGAATAGCGTGGCTGCACACAGAGGGAGGGCCCCGACTCCCGTGACACCCGCGGAGGCGAGCCGCAGCCCCAGGCGCCCTCGGCCTGCAGCGGGGGCTGGGAAACAGCCGCGGGCCGAGGCCGCCCACGTCTGACTACCTACCAGACCACCCCAACCCAACCCGAAGACCCGAATTTCGGGTTGGGGGGGGTAAGGGTTCCACATGTGTTTTTTCGACGTTTCCCGACCCCCCCCCACTGGAAATCGAGGGTAAATTTGAGCCTTCGGGTTGGGTTGGGGTGGTTTGGTGGGTGGTGAACGTCCGCGGCCCCCGCCCTGCCGGGCCCCCATCGCGGAACCGGGCTTGTCCAACGATGGCGGAGGGGGGACCTCGGTGGGGTACGCCTCGCACATCGCCGACACATCGGCGATGGGGACCAGGCAACGAAACCGCACGACCCTGGGCGGGTGGGCCATCGTGCCCACACCGGCGATGAAGGAGCGCTGGGGGGCCGATGCATCCCCCCTGAGCCTATACCACCCTGACGTTGCCGCTGAAGAAAGCTCGAATCCGAACGCGTCCGAGCAACACTCAAAGGTCGGATCAGCCGTCATCGAACCGGAAAATCGGATCGAATCGAGGTGCGCATCGGATCGGGCCGCAACGGCACGGAGTCGGATTCGACTCGTATCGGCCGCACCGGGAAGCGCAATGGGCCGCGCAAATATCGGGCCACGTCGGATCGGCGGAGCACCGGCATCCAATCGGGTCGGTCCTGCCGAAATCGATGTACCCCGAGTTGCTCAATAAGCGTGGGGGGGGGGATCGCGTGGTGGGGGTGGAATGGGCCTGTCTGGCGCTGGGCGTGGGGGGCTGGCTCGCGCGAGGGATGACTTCGGCAAGCGTGGGGGGAGGCGGGCCTGGAACGGGCCGTCGCACAGAGAAGCGGCATGCGGAGGATGCTCCCGGAAGAGTCTGGAGTATCGAATCGGACCGACATGGGCCCTGGAGCGTGGAGGAGGGCGAACTGAGACGACGGCATCTCGAAATCGGTTCCCAGACCCCCCACGGGGTCCAAGCGCACCAGTTATCCGAGCCGTGCCCGCCTGAGGCGACGAAGGCCCCCCCTCGCAGGCGAACTGACGCTCTCTCAGCTCTCCCTCCTCTGAGCCGAGCGACGACCGACCGACGGCCGACCGACGGCCAGCAACTGGCCGCCAACGAGAGGCGCGTAATTGCGCGCGCCGCGCCGCGGCCTGGCCGGCGAGTCCCCGCCACCGTCGCTCACCGAGCCCGCGCTGTCGCCGTCGGCCTCCTGTCGCGCTCGTTGCCGTCAAGAGTCGTCGTCGGTCGTTGCCGTCGGTCGTCGTCGGTCGGCGTCGTCAATCGCTGGCCGCTTCGGCGTCGGGACTCGTGGTCGTCGCCGACGCCGTCCTCGGAACAGGAGGAAGAAGAATGGACGGGGGAGAGAAAGCCGCTCGGGATGAAGCAAGCGGGTCCAGCGATTCCCGGGTCCTGGGGCTTTCCCTCCTATCCAATCCTCCATCCGAATTAGTCTTTTGACGGCCCCAAGCCCAAAGAGCGTGATGACGGCGATAAAAATCCGGACGCCTTGCCTCAGGGCCCGTCTGCATCCTGGCAAGACGCGGGAGTGAGGAGTTTGCGTTTGCTTGAACGAAGGCTGACGTCAAGCCTCCGCTCCGTCAGTTGCAACAATGTAATCAATCTCCTGCCGCTATGAAAGCTTCAGAAGGAACGACGGCCTGTTTGGGTCCCCGACGCGGCTGGGTGCACGGGGAGCGCGGGGGAACAACCGTGGAAGGACCTGCTGAACAACGAGCCCCTTCCGAACCCAGAGGGGGCGAAAAATTACATAAGCACAGAGCTTGGAGGTCCGCGCGGATTCCTCGAATCGGCGCCGGGGCCCACTGGCGGCGCCCCCGGCGCCGCCCCTGGCGCGATGCGCGCGCCAGGGAGGGGGTCCACCGCCGATCCGAAAAATCCGCGCGGGCCTACGAGTCTTTATGTTCTGTCACTGCTTGTTCCCCGAGCACGATTCAGCATCTCAGCGTATCGGTTGTATTCTGAAGCGACGAGGCTGGAAGAGCGAAGGGGGAGGGGAGGGAAGGAGGGAGGGGGATAGGGAAGGGAGGGGAAGGGAGGGAGGGAGGGGGGGGGAGGGAAGGAGGGAAGGGGAGGGGAGGGGAGGGCGCGGATTTGGCTCCTGGCGAATTCTCGCCAAGCAGAACCCCCCCCCCAGGGGGCCGCAACGATTTCAAAATGAGAAAGTTTCCAACGCGCTGCTTTCCGCAAGCTGGGCCGCGGTGAATCATCGTGGAACGCCCGCGCGACATCGAATCGCCGCGCGCCGCCAACCCCCGCCATTGAACCACGCCAGGCGATTCGCGGAGGCGCGATGAACGCGGCCCCCGAGCCAGGCCGCCACGTGACCGCCATGGAACTCATCGCTGGGATGACGCTTTATTCCGCAATCGCCGGGCAAAGCGTCCGCGCAAATTTGAGCGCGAGCAGCCGTCGAAACGCGGAAGGAATCGGCGCGCGCGCAGCCGTCGAAAGGCCAGGTGCTGCCCCGGCCGCGCGGCCGATAGCTTGCGCGGGAGAAACACCCCCCAAGCTGATTCATGATGGAACGCGCCGGCGCGGGACCGACGGACCACGAGAAAGGGCCACTGTGGAGACCCCGCGTGAAGAGGAGACGCTCGAGCGCAAGCGCCGCGTGGGGAATTGGCGGGACGCCAGAGGCGGTTGGATCTCATGCCCGCGCAAATTGAACCCCGCTTCTGGGGGGAAGCGCTCGTGGGGCCCACCGCGGGCGCGGGGGCCCGTTGGCCCAGACTCTGCCGCGGCCGCGGCCAGGCCCCGGCGCTCCCCCCTGGGGGCCGCGGCGCGCGGCGGAAAAGAAAGGCCCGACGGCGAACGTCGGCTTCGAAGCCTCAACGGCCGGCCGCGGGCGCGGCGGCGCAATCGCAAATCCGCCGCGCGAGGCAGCGCAGCCCGCCGCGAGGGCATCCTCTCCAACGGAGCGGGGGTCCCCGGGGAAGCCCCTGGCCCCCTCCCCGACCCCCCCGCCGCCTTTCCGCGGCGCCCTGCCCCCCCTCGCCGTTTGGCCACGATGTTGGACACTTCGCTGGCCCCGGTGTTGCACGTGTTTGTGGCCTCCCTTCCGCGGGGGCACACTTTTATGACAGCGATTCTTCGCGCAATTAAATCAATGAGAAAAATCGTGTGGGCGGTTTCGTGGGGCCTCGCAAGGGGGCGCGGAACCGTTGCCGAAAATTGCGCGCAAAATCGCGCCCGAAATCGCGGGCGAAATTGCGTCGCCTGGATCGCGGGCGAAATCGCGGGCGCAGAATCGCGGGCCTGCCCGGTGAGCCGGCGCGCCGAGCTGGCGCGCCCGCGCAACGTCAGCGACGGCGCAGAAAAAAGAAAAGAGGAGGGGGCGGCGGCAGCGGCAGGAGGGCCAGCGGCAGCAGCAGGAAACAAGAAATAATGGGAAGCAGCAGCAGGAGAGGAGGAGAGAGTCGTCGAAATGGGCCCGCCCGTTCGTCGCGCGCCCCATAGCACGCTGGACATGCTTCTCGGGGGAAACTCGCCGGCCCAACGGGCAAGAGGCGCGCGCAGATCTCCGGCGACTGCCTCGCAGCATTCCTATTTCGCGCGCGCGGGGCGGCCCGGAGGGCCCCCCGTGCGCAAAATGCCCCGGCCAGGTCGGGCCAGATGTTTCTTCTCCTGGGCGCGGCTTTCAGGCGCCCCAAAGCGATGCAAAAGGGCCCCAAAGAGGCGCCCCAGACGGTCCAAGAGGGCTCCGATCTGTCGAACGGTCGGCCCGCGACACCCACGATGGCTTCCAGACGGCCCACGACGCGCGCAAGACCCCCGAAGAGGCCACCGCGAGCTGAAACGATACCCGAAAACGCGAGTCTAAACTTCAAAGACAAATTAAAGCAGAGAGGCGTGGCGGAAACATGCCGGGGGCGACGCCGCCCCGAACGACGCGTCGAAGCGAGACTGCGCGCAAGCCGCACGCCGAACGCCCAATATAGGAGCGGGTCGGCGACGCAACAACTTCTGAACAAAGAAAAACAAAACAATTTCGAAATTTTCAATTTGTTGCTTCGAGAAAAAAAACCCACAACCTTTGCACCAATCCGCTTGGGGGGCGCAGCTTCATGAGAATTCGTCGCCGCTTGACCGCCGTCCTCATCGGTCGCCGCTCGGCGGTAGGGACTCGGCGACGCCGCCGTCGGTCGCCGTCCGTCGATCGATCAGGGATGGCACGTTTTTGGAACGCCTTGAATCCCTCGGGGCGCAGGATCCTTCAGATCTTAGACCGCGAAACCAGATCGAATGGGAGCGTGCGCCGGACAGGGCTGCATCGGTAAGGGATCGAAATCGAATCGCATTAACCGCGCCAGGGTGCAGAATAACGCCATGCAAGCATCGGGTCGCACCTCGGAACAGGGCCAACGGCAACTCGACATCGGTTCCCCGGCCCCTGCCATGGTCCGAACGCGCCAGATTTCCGAGCAACGCCCAGCCGTGGCAACGAGGGACCCCCCCGAAACCCAACTTATTGTCTCGACTCGCCCCCCTCTGAACATCGGGTCGTCTGAGTATCAGTTTCGAATCGGACCGCGCCGGCCGAAGTCGATATCGAATCGGATCGATTCGACCCTGAATGGCGCCTTGCAAGCGCCGGCCTGGCTCGCCCACGGAATCCGTGCCAAACCGCGCCCCAAAATAGCTCCGCGGGGTCGGCCATCGTCGCCGCCGCCGCCATCCTCAACATTCAGCTTCTGGCGCAGGGCGACGTCGAGTATGTTGCGTATCAGGGCGTACTCGTGCCTATCCACGAGCGTCCTCTTGGTGCTGTTGGCGGTCGCGTAGATGCCGTGCTCCAGCGCGGGTCTCGGATCTGTCCGATAGGGCAGGCAACGGTAGTCTGGCAGGTCCACCTCGAAGCCCACGACCAAATTCGTGGCGAACTCCTTGGTGTAGCAGCCACAATTTTGTGTTCTGCATCCCCGACGCTGCCGTCGATGCGCACGTGGGGGGGGTGCTTCCGTCGCGCTCATTGCAGATCTGCTCGAAAGCGGAAATCGATGTTGAAGCCTTCCACGCGTTCTGGTTGGGCTGGTTCTGGTCATCCTCGATATCCCCCTGGTCGTCGTGACCGACGTGAAGGTTCTTGGCCTTGAACTCGTCCGGCGCGTTGCCCCGAGCGACGCGCCCGTCGATCGCCAGCGCGGCATGCCCGATGGGCTGCGCTGGGTCGGTCACGCCCCGGGGCCCGCGCGGATCGCCGCCCGATGTCAGCATCTCCGCTCCTGGGCCCTTCAAGGCTGATCGGCCCAGCAGACCAAGGCAGTCCCGCTCGACGTCGGCCGCGTCGAGCCTGCCCACCTCGCCGCAGACTCCATCCGGGTGGACCTCGGCGATCGCAGCACGGATCGCGTCGCCATCGCCGAAGCTTTCGCTCGCAGCCCTCGCCGCGTGCCCGAGGCCTACCTTCGCACATCTCTCGGACATCGCGGCGCTCCACGCCCGCCCAGCAACGCTCCTGCAGCATCCAGCGTCCGCCATCATGTCGGCGCTCTCGTTGGGCAGCTGGTAGACGGTATAGTGCATGCTCAGGTACTTCGCGTCAGCGTCTGCGCTGGAGTCGTCGACGGCTCGATTCAACATCCGCGTGAAGTGGCACGGCGCGTCGCCAGTGCAGTACTCGGTCTGGTTCGTCTTCTCGTCGTGGTGCCAGTGCCTCCTGGCGCAAGATGCGCGCTCCAGCCAATCGCAGCGCGGGTTGTCGCAGTTCGCCATCTTCTGGCGCGCGCAGCCTGCGTCTCGATGCAAAGGCGGCGGCTGTCCAGGCGGCGCGCGGGGGGCCAGGTCTGCAAGCGCGTAATTGGCGGCTTTTGCCTTCGCAAAATGGGAGCCAAATTCTGCTGGAACTCGGTCGGCGACCGACCGGCGCGGAGCCGCTGGGGAGGTCTTGGTCTCCGCGGCCGTCGCGTCCGTCATTTCGATCTCATCCGTCATGTCAGCGTCGAAATTCTCGAAGGAGTTCTCGAACTCCTTCGCGGCCGAGGGCGCGCGGTCCCCGACCTCTACGTCCACGCAGTAGCTGCTCGATGCCTTGCTGCTCCGCGCTCCTGGTTTTCCATTCGCAGACGGGAGCGCTTCTCCCGACTTGACAGTCGAGGTCGCTGATCTAACGGCCATTCTCACCGCAAGCCTTGCACTTACAGGTCTTCTTCTTGGCCGCACTCCTGCTCGAACGCTTTCCGAGCCCTTTGAAAGAGAACTTCAAATCCTCGCGCTCCGCTCCGGGGTCCGAAACTGGTTCGTCTGCGTTCTCGTCTTCATCGCAATCCTAGGAGCGCGTTCCGTCTGGGTCGTCCCAGTCGTCATAATCATCGCCGATGGCCGATTCGTCTGGCTGATGGTAGTCGTCCGCGTCGTTGCGGTCCGTACCGTATCTCCCCTTACCGCACTTTCCTCAGTATGGGCCCTTCTGGGGCTTGCCGAACTTGCCTCCGCTCGAGATGGTCGGGTCATCGCGCATCGGCGGGCGCCCATTCATTCTCGAAGTTGGGCCCCCGATGGGCGCGGTTTTTGCGGCGGGCGTCGTCGACGCGCGCGTCCCCACACAGCATGATGAGGTCCTCTGCAGTTTTACTGGGATCCTATATCTGGCGCGCGGTAGCCAACACATATCCTCGCTTGTCAGGACTGAGGCCTCAGCTCTTCAGCATCTCCCGCGCGCGGGCTTTCTGCGAGACCTCCTGGTCTGTCATCTCGCACTCGACCGTGCACTTGAGCAGTTGCGTCAGAAACTCCGCCATGCTCTGCCTCGCTGGTCTTCTGCGGCAGTCGTACTTAGCTGACGCGTAGTCGGAGTTCTTGTGTTTTTAGTTGTTGCGCCTCTTGTCGAAGGCCGCGCGCAGCTTCTTCGGTCCGCCGTCGTCTTCGCCGGTCGGCTCTGCGAAGCGGATGTGGCGAGCCAAATTTGCTGCCTCGCACTGCAGTGACACGAAAGCGACCGCGGCCAGCCTCGCGCTGCCGAGGTCCGACATGTAGCGCGCATTCTCCATCGACCTATAATATTCCAGTCCTCGTACACCGTTGTCTTCCGACTGCGCGCGGTACAATTACTTTTGGGCTCCCTCCTTGGGAGCAATATGCCGTCCCAGGCATGCCCGCGTCAACCCACGCGTCGCTGCGGAGGCTGATCAACTCACTCACTCTCGCGGCCGTGATGACTTGAGGGCTCCGCTACCAGTGCGACGGGCGCCCAGGCAACGTTGGGCTCTCTGATCTGTCCGCTTGCCCTTGCATTCCCAGGAACCCTCCTGCTCGACGATGCTGGCCTCCAGCAGGCTGGGTCCCGCAGGGACCTATCCGCCTGTGGGCGGCGCGGCCGCCGGGTGTCGACCGCGACGCGGGCGACCTTTCCGTGCCGATGCGACTCAACGCCTGCGTCGGACCAATACAGCAACGGTCGACCCACCGTGCGAGGAGGGAGAAGCGAGGACGGGGCACAAGCTCGGCACAGAACGGGGAGCCCTCAAAGGCCCCCGATCCCAAGGGAAGCACATCATCGCCCACGATCGAACACTGGACCAAAAGGGCAATGCCAGGGAAAAACACACACCTATACGACCACCCTTCGGGTTATAAGGAAGATGTGTGGGGGGGAGAGAGGGGGGGAAACCATATCGATCTCACTACCGATCGCACTCAACGGGACACCACGGGACACTTGTCGATCTCACTATCGATCTCACTGACCCAACGGGACACCATAGGACACCACGGGACACCACGGGACACCGCGGGACACCTCTCGATCTCACTGTCCGTCTCACTATCGATCTCACTATCGATCTCACCCAACGGGACACCATAGGACACCACGGGACACCTCGGGACACCAAAGGACTCACGATCGATCTCACTATCGATCTCACTAACGGGACACCACGGGACACCGCGGGACACCTCTCGATCTCACTATCGTCTCACTATCGATCCCACTCTTTGCGACACAGGGGGACACCACGGGACACCACGGGGCACCACATCGATCTCAATATCGATCTCACTATCGATCTCACTCAACGGAAGGGACACTACGGGACACCACGGGACACCTGTCGATCTCACTATCGATCCTTCCTACTTTTGGAGACACCACGGGACACCTCGGGGCACCACATCGATCTCAGTATCGATCTCAATATCGATCTCAGTATCGATATCACTATCGATCTAACTAAACGGGACACCACGGGACACCACGGGACACCGCGAGCCACCGCCAGACGGACGGACGGACGGGCGGGCGGGGGAGAATCATTTGTCCTGACTTCGCCCTATCAACGGCGGACACCGCGGGACACCACGGGACACCGCGGGACACCGCGAGCCACCGCCGGACGGGCGGGCGGAGGAGAATAATTTGTCTTGACTTCGCCCTAGCAACGGCGGACACCACGGGACACCACGGGACACCGCGGGACACCGCGGGAAACCGCGAACCGCCAGACGGGCGGGCGGAGGAGAATCCGCCGGCCCCCTTGTGGGGCCACCAGGCTGTAGGCCCGTGATTCGCAGTTTCCTGTACCAGTCGTAGGTTGTAGTTTCCAGTGTTACAGTTCTGCTTCTTGCTGGTTACTGTAACTAGTTGATTGACCGCGCGAGGGGGGGGAGGCCCAAACAGGATATTTAGCACCCCCTGGGCGCGTTGTCTGAATTGCTGGGGGGGCTCGACATCGACACCCCTCACGCAGATCCGCGGGGTCAGGGTCCAAAAACACATGGGATTTGCCACATTTCTGAAATTCGGTGCCACCCCTCACGCAGATCCGCGGGGTCAGGGTCCAAAAACACATGGGATTTGCCACATTTCTGAAATTCGGTGCCACCCCTCACGCAGATCCGCGGGGTCAGGGTCCAAAAACACATGGGATTTGCCACATTTCTGAAATTCGGTGCCACCCCTCACGCAGATCCGCGGGGTCAGGGTCCAAAAACACATGGGATTTGCCACATTTCTGAAATTCGGTGCCACCCCTCACGCAGATCCGCGGGGTCAGGGTCCAAAAACACATGGGATTTGCCACATTTCTGAAATTCGGTGCCACCCCTCACGCAGATCCGCGGGGTCAGGGTCCAAAAACACAGGGATTTGCCACATTTCTGAAATTCGGTGCCACCCCTCACGCAGATCCGCGGGGTCAGGGTCCAAAAACACATGGGATTTGCCACATTTCTGAAATTCGGTGCCACCCTTCACGCACATCCATCGCAAGGCGTGGTAACCCACACTGCGAGAACTCCCTCGGCCCTTTAATCGCAAGGTGTGGTAACCAAGCCCGTAAACCATACACGTCTTACCAATCGCCAGGTGTGGTAACCCCTCTTGTGATCAGTTGGTTTTGCTGATTGCGAATCGGCTTCGCATGAAATCTCGATACTGCTTCACGACAGCGCCAAGGCCTCATGACTTAGCTCTTCCATGGCCCATTCTCCGAGAAAGGGGGCCGTCGGCAGGGGGCGAAGCCCTTACGGATAATTTGGGGTCAAGTCTTGAGTCCTGTTCGTGAAGCCCGCAGGCACTTTGTATTGTGTATGGTAGTGACGGCGGGGGTGTCAGCATATTGCTTGCTGTGCGGAAGGTGACCATCCCTAACACAAACAAAAAACGATACAACATGCACCTCGCGGCTATACCTGGATCGTGCGCGGCCACCCCGCGATCACTGTCAAGTGGTGTTTGACAGGGACGGCGGGGGTGGTGGCGTATGGTCTGCTGTGCGACGGCCCACCAGACACAATGAAAGGCATTGCTGTTCGACAAGGATGGTGGGGGTCGACATGTTTCCCGATGTGTGCCGTCACGTGCACAAGCGCACCTGACACACTGTGCGCGTGACCCTGGACGTGGCGCACCTGGCGCCGCCAGCACGTGGCGCATCTGGCGCACCAGGCGTGCGCTCGGGCCCGAGGGGTGCCTGGCGCGCGTGGCGCGCCTCGCACGCGTGGCGCACCTCGCCCCACCGTCGCGCATATTTGGTCGGTTTGGGTTCCCAGGTCGTTTTGGTTTCCCAGTCGTTGTCCATCCAAAAACGACCGCTGAACATGCTGAGGCTCGGATGTTACTTATGTGTTGGGAGGGCGGGTGGAAGTGAGCTGGACGGCTTGTGGGCGAGTGGGTAGCTTGACCCCTCCCCCTACCCCGTCCCTTGGATCTGGACGGGGCCCTTCGCGAGGTGTCAGAGGGCTTCTTCGACCAAGACGGCTCCAAGAGGGCCTCAGAGAGCCCAGGATGACCTCCAAGATAGCCCCAGATAGCCTAGGATGCCTCAAGATGACTCCCAAGATGCTCCAAGAGGCCCCAAGAACGCTCCAAGACGGCTCCAAGAGGCCTCCGGGACCTCCAAGGAGGCCCGCACGAGACCACAACCCGTTGAAAACATACGGAATATCACTGATTGCTGCATGGTCGCACATTCGCTTTGGATAGACTTCCGAGGCCTCAAAATGGCCCCAAGAGAGGCCCAAAAGAGCCCCAAGACGGCCCCAAGAGCGCTCCAAGAGAGGTCCACTAGGGGATTTTGGAGGCTTACAAGGGGGAAGGCTAATTACGACCATCCCCTTCGCCCATCGATGTCCTCCAAGATGGCCCCAAGAGCGCCTCAAAAGCCCCCGATATGGCCCCAAGAGGCGCCAAGAAGGCCCCAAGGGGCGCCCAAGAGGCCTCCAAGAGGCTCCCAAGAGACCCTCATAGAAGTCCCAAGAGGCTCCCCGATGCACGCCAAGAGGCCCCCAAGACGACCCAAAAAGCCTCCAAGCTCGCCATTGTCCTCCTCCTCTTCCCCTTCCTCCTCATCAGCCTATTTCTCCACCTCCCTCCTCCCTCCCCCCCCTCCCCCACCTCCTCCTCCTCCACTTTATCCTCCTCCTCCTCCTCCTCCTCCTCCTCCTCGTCTTCTCCCTCATCCCCCTCGCCCTTCTCCCCCGCCTTTCCTCATTCGGCAGGTCCGCGAAGGAGCATGCGGTTCACTCCTGGG